CTAGTATTTTCAAAAGTGCAAATGATGGGTGTGTTTCACTCATGCATTTAATACCGTTTTGTTTGATTTTAAGAGTTGTAGGTTAGATGAAATGATGACAAAAAAGGATTCTTGGAGCTTTAAGGAACCAAAAAGTGATAGGGAGATGAACTGAGAGCACAAGGACTTGAAAACATGCTAAGGAGGCAAGGAAATAGACAAAGTGCAGCGCAAGGCACCAAACAAGTAGCACATCAGCACTGCAAAAAATGGAAGAAAATCAACATAATGGGTACACCGCAAAAGCCAGGAAGAAATTACAGAATAAGTAGCGCCTAGGAGCCACAGAAGATGGGGAATGTCACACGTTTTATATAACTTAATTATCATTTAAGTGTATAGTGTCAAGTTTTGTAATATATGAATGGACTTAGAGTGTCGAACTCCTAGGGATTGTAATTTAATTTTATACTAAATACTATAATTGTGTATCATCTATTTTATCTAGACAATCAAATTATAATATCAATGGTTTTAAAATAATCTAATGATGAATATGATGATGAATTCAACGATATCAATGCAATTTAATAGAATAATTAAGATGAGAAAGTCTAGGGCTATGATTTCACCCAACTATCAAATAGGATTTTAAAAACATAGTTATATTTATAAGTAAGAACTCTAATGTAATTCTACTCCCTCTCTCAAGTGCTGGGTAAAAATTAATTTTAGAAATTCATTCCAATATCTCTATTCTGAATTAAAATCAAGATTTATTAAGATCGTGGTTCTTAGATGAAACAAGCTTAATAGATTCTACACTTTTTCTTGAAACCTATTAAATCTAGGTTGTTTTATTGTTGTGATATCGCCTAAATCCCTCTTTCGAGTGTCNNNCGCCTAAATCCCTCTTTCGAGTGTCAAAATTGACTTGCATCTAATCATTTAATTAATGACCAATTAATTGAAAATATTAAATCAATAACAAAAATAAAAGGAAAGGAAAATTTTATAGAAATAACTAAAACAAAATCAAATCATATCATCAGGTTTTGGCTAATCAAACCCTAGAAGAATTATTTAATTCATGATATGAGACATGAAATCTATACAATTCATAAAGAATGACATGAAGACAAGAAAGATAAAACTATTTTTTGGATGATTGAATCAATCTTCTTCAGCAAGTTGTATTTGCTTCCTTCTTGATTTCTTGAATCTTGCCCCCTTCAATTCTCTCTAAAAAGCGGTATTTAGGTTTTTATTTATAGTATCTTGAAATCTTGGAAATGTTGAAGTCGGAATGAGCCAAGAAAAGAGTCCAAAAAAAAATAAATCAGAAATTCATTTCTGCATGGCAACGCCTCGACACTGGCATCTCAGCGCCGCGGCTCCACGCCTCTTCTTCCAGTGGCACTGCAGCCCCACACGTTATGCTTCTATTTTTTCGGGTGGGCCATCGTAGCACCCAAGAGCTAGCG